ATTGTTACAAAAGTGCTTCTCCCCCAATAGTCCGTTCAATTTGTGCAGCCCCCCAATAACGTTTATTCAATTTTCTGTAATACTATTGTCTTCCAATCTACGCCGATCCTTTCTTGACTCGAATGCATGGTGATTATTTCTGGCAAAGTCCACTACGGCTGTTGCTTGCTTTGGTATAATCAGATCCTTGACAACCCACTCTAGTCGCGCCTTGAATAAATCTTTGTCGACTGTAGAAAGTACTTGTACGAACGCATCCTCAGACATCTACAAAAGAGGGACAGTAAGGCACTCACATACACAATAAATAACGGCCACATTGTATAATGTACTTACAGATTCTAGCTTTGTCGGGTTAAAAGTAGCTGGTAGCAGGACTAGTCCCACTCCAAACTCGCGGACCAGCTGGATGTACCGTCGACAGCCTTGGCATATTTTTGAGACAAGCTGTTGCGCAGTCTTTGTCGACAGGTGCTGGAACACACCTTCATCAAAGTCTTTGAGCTTGCCTTTTTTATTGATATGGTAGTCGTAGCGGTAGTAGGCAATGTTGATGCGTTCGACCATGTGCATAAACTCGACCATGCTGCCATTCACTGCCAATCTGCTTATGCGGTTTGCACAAACTTTTGCCTTATTTATGACACTGCTTGAGGTTGTCAACCTCTCGACGCGCTTGACATTGACAAGATCTTGCAAGGGTTCAATCTCGACATTGCCGACGCTGTTCCTCAACACTGCCGCAAAGTCGGCCACCTCGCTGAAAAACTTGAATCTGCCATCAAAGTCTCGGTTACAGATACTGTTGACCTCTACAAATATACTGGTAAGTTTGAAAGCACTGTATACGAAATGTTATTTTCTTTTGTGTGATTACCTGTCAGAAACCTTCCTCCACTTTTCCATGTGTTCCGAAGAGCACGACCTGACGACAAGGCTACTTGGGTGCCAAGGTCTACATGCGCATCATTGGAAGCCTGGCCTGATTCAGTGGTCCTTGTTATGCGCTCAATACTTTCCCGGTCATCGCCATGTTCAGAAGGGTCTCGAACGCTTCCGGGTAAGCTTGTCACATTTGTCATTGCTTCAAAACTATCTGCAGTGTCGCCATTCTTCGAAGAAGAAGCTGTAGCTGGCACAAATGAGTCGTCCTGCTGATCCTCACTGTCATTGCCATCTGTATGGTTGTTGTTTGCTGCTGTTGGTTGCGTATTATCATCAGGCTCGCTGTTCAGGTCGATATCCAATGAGTTAAGATCCACTTGCATTGCACTATTGGCATCCTCTGCTTTGACGGAAAATAGCACATGTAGATTTATTAATGAGCATGTCAATACAGGTAATGTAAATAGATTTAACATACCATTTTCCTCTTGGTTACTGTCTGCTTCAGTATTATCATTTGTCGCTGGTCCCTGTTCAGCTGCCTGGGCTCTACCATCTACCGCCTTTCGTTTTCTTAGTGACAAAGACAATGTTGCTGCCCGTGCGTCGCTTGCCTGACGCTCCTTGAGCCAGTCTATGCGAACCTGTTGTGCAAACAAATCCTTGTGACGATCATTCCTTTCCTGTATCTCTCTTTCAAGGGGAGACTAATTTCTCTTTGACGTTAATCGAGGCGTATCTGTATTATACCGCAGAACAATAAAGTGAGCACTTACTAGAGTGCGCTGTGGCACGTCATTGTTATTCTGTCTGACTGGAGCTGGCTATGTAAGAAAAAAAGTTAGGATTTATTTGTAGGACATTACTATTCAACAGGATGTAATACATACTGGCTGCCATCTTTTAAAAATAGAGGTGCTATACCCCTTGCCGTCAAAGACCTCGCTAACCTCTCTAATAACATCTGCGATATCTGTAAGATAATTAGTTTCGTACAGAATGTTTGTTTTACACTGGTGCTTTTTTAAAACATGAAAACGTACCACGGTTGTCTAATGCCCATCTCAGTGCAGCACAAAGGTCGAGTTCACGTTCATCAGACATGAGTATGGATACAGGGTGTTGGAGAAAAAATAAAGTAATAAAATCACTTGTTTCTAGCAGAGCTTATATATAGAGCGAGACCTTTTTTTTTCAGGGCATACACCGATTGGTATATAGCTCTATTGGCGCGCAATGACATGGAAAATGCTTTTGGAAGGACGTAGTACAAGGGCATTACCTTAAAAAAAAAGGTTTTTTAAAGCAGGTGACTTTCAGTATTTTACTTTAGCTCAGGTAAAAGTGTGCCAGTATACTTTTGGTATGTCTTGTTTAATGGTACTTTTGCAGTTTATAGTGCGACTGCGCTGTTGTGAAATAAGTGGTTGACTGTAAGACATGACACACAAAATTCCTTTGCTCGATCAGTGTAAAGTATATCCCACAATGAACTCTTTTTTAATATATCAGCATACTGTGAGCCAATAAATATCAAAACCAAAAAGTGTTTTTTTGAAAGGAATTTTATTTAACAAAAAAAGCAAACAAAACCGATCAGCGGCGACCGGCAAAAGGACACAACGAGATAAATGGATCCTCCTCGTCTTCGTCTTCGTCCTCCTCGTCTTCGTCTTCACTGTCGTCGATGCAGACGGCGCGTATTCCCGTCTCTACGTAGAGCTTAGCCAGTTTTGCCTGGAGCTCTTTAAAAGAAAAAGCAAATAGGAGTTAGAACAAAATGACAAGGCTGCAGACTAATAGTGTGTTAAAATGACAGTATACCTTCGCTGAGACGGGCATTTATGTAAGCAGCGGCAATCCGCTGCTCGCGCTCCGACAGTGCATCAAAGGCTTTCCAAAAGCCCCTGGATATTTCCCAGGCCAAAGCAGTGCTGGTGTTGGTGACAGGCGAGGGTCGGACAGTGCTGCCTATATATTTTAGAGGCAATACAGCACAGGGTGATTGATTAGTATGCATTTTTATAACATGTGAAAGTATAACATAAATCATATCAAACAAAAACATACCACATAGGCGGACATGAATAAAAATACCCAATGGATTAAAATCGTCTTTACGTAGTGAGGAAAGTTGGATCCAGAGCTCACGAGCGATAGCGCGGCTGATAGAGAAGTGGCAAGTAGTGGTGTTGTGCATTTGTCAAGTGTAGAGTGAGAATGATTTGAAAAGAACACAGTCTTGAAACTTCCTTTATATATATAATGCTCTACTGCTGTACAGTATTGTACTACTTAATGTATTGTAGTAAGGGGGGAAAATCATCTAAATGGTACTACCCACGCAATCAGTCAATTACAAGGACAATAGTTTATTTCCAGCCAAGGATGTTTGCTATAAACATACGTAATTGCATCTCTAATACTTTTAGCTGTAGGCTGCCTCGAGTAACATTCTTGGCAGTTGATCCAGTAGGAGGTATTCTGAACGAATTAAACTCAGATACAGTCAACTACAGATAGAATGAATACACAATGGTGGCTCGAGTTTCAATAAAACGGGATATAGGCACCTTGCTCAGTTTCCAAGTACTGAATGAGTTGTGGAACAACAGCTCGGTACGGGAGGACTTGTGGATCAAATACAGTAGACGCTCGCCCCCCTTTAGAGTATTTTTGAGGCTTCGTAATGATACATTGTACGTTTGTTGGCCTAACACTAAAGTTAGCAGTATTCAAGAAACAGTTTACCAAATCAAACAATCAGAACAAATAATACCTTTGATAATGTGTTTGAGACCATTTCGAGCAGCGAGGCGGTGGTACATATACAGCCATACAGTAGCAATATTGGCTATGATGCGAATTGCTTCGTCCGAGTGACGTTTAGCATTTATTTGAAATGCATATATATATACCCATGCATCTATGTTGTAGTGTTGAAGGTGCAAGTCCTGTAGTGTCGGCAAACATATTTCTGGCACTAGCTCCACTATTCTGTTGGCTAGATTCTCTTTGTGATGTATGTTGTCATGTATAGGTGGAAACGCAAAGTCGGCGTTGGAGATGCCCTACAGATATTGGTTGCATATCCGTTAGCACTTGACTTTTACACTGATAACATCAATTTTACATTGTATCTTTCACCGTTCTCAGAATTAAAAGAATCGCCGATATGGGCGAAATCATCCGCGCGTCTATCATTCGAGCTGTTTTGCTTAATTGTAATCATATCAGTAAGTGAGTTGCTAAAAGCCGTGGCATTGTTGTTATTCTTTGATACCTGCTGACGTTGGAAGAGTGACATAGTGGAGAAAATAAAAGGAGTTGCGGCTGAATGAGAAAGAGTGGATTATTGCAATAATAATTGCAGTGGGGTAATTACTTTATAGTCGACGGCTGCATCGATGTTATATCGATCAATGATACATCATTATCTTATTTACATAAAAAAGGGGCACGGGGGATTAGACGTCTTCACTCAAAGATTGCAACACATGTTCTGATTTAAAAACTGTTATGTGTAACTTGTAGACGCTGTCATTGGGAGTTCCCAATTTTTCATGTATATAGGTACTTTTGCTATCTAATAGCTGATGGACTCATGTAGCCAAAAGGAAAAGGCATCCTCTTTCAATTGTAAAAAGACGTACTACACTCAGCTACTCGGTAGGTAGATGGGAAAAACATTGCGACGGTCTGAAGGCTGCAACAGATGAAACTGAAAGATCAGAAGAAATGTTGTAAAAACAAGAACATGTTGATACAGCTTTGTGTGATATTTGGAAAATGTTGGCTTGTACAAAAGGTGCTCTGCATGGTAACACTGATGTAAGTGTTGAGGAACAACTCAAGGATGCACCAGATCAGAGAGGAACATGAAAATAAAAGTCATATTGGAAAGAGCAAGTGTCTAGGCACAACTCACATTAAGAAAAAGAACCGGATTCATCAGAGAAATCTAAGAACAGAGTGTTCCAAAAGAAATATGTCAGGATGGGGGCAATGCACAAGCAGTAGAGAAAACCGTGTATCGAACAGCAAGAAGAAAATATCCCTGGTAGATCCTTGGTACAACTTTAATGTCTTAAAGAGCTAGGCAGGAGTAATGACGATAGATTACGTCTCAAAAAGCAACAGTAAGGTACCATTTAACAACTTATCTGGTATGACAAAGACAGTTGCCATGCTGTGCTACTACATACCAATTTAAGCTGGGGGGTACCAACAATTCATGTGGTAAGCAAGTTCCAGACATGATGGGTGTACAAGAAAATGGAAGCATGATATAACGATGTCAGGTACGAAGAAGAGCAGTGCGCAACAGTAAGTACGATTGCTAAATTTCCCGGGAACTGTCTTGTCAAGTGTACAAAGGGAACTGATCCAATTACTCGAAAATGCCGTGTAAGAAACCAGAGTGAGACTCTAGTATAAAAGAACAAAATTTTTTGAAGCTGGAAGCCATCAATTCACAACACACATACACCAGCTCTCTCTCTCTCTCTCTTGTCAGCCATGTCTACTATGTCAACCACCACAACCAACAGTATCGACGTCTCGGGGTGCTATTTCTCCACTTGGCCTTCCCCCGTCCCGCGCCCTGGAAAGCAGACACAAGCACAACGCCAAGAACAAGCATGGCAAAATTTCCGAGGTGTCCAGTAGCATCTGGTCCAAGCCGCTAAGGAAGCCCAGGGCAAGAGGGCTTACTTTGACCTTGTTAAGGCCCAGAAGGCACACACCTGGACCGGCGCCTAGAATCATTTTCGGTGTGGCGACGAAGTCGCCACAGCGAAAATGAGTGACCCCGATGACCCCGACATTTCAATTCAAGTGGCGACGGATGACCCCGGCCTGACCCCGGGATTTAGCCAATCAAATTAAGAGAAAGTGGTGAGGAAGACAGCAAAATAGCACGAGAGCTAGCTCCACTTCTTTTATTACTTATTTTTTTTTTTTTACTCTTCAACACACTCGTTTACTACCGCTTTTTATTCTATACATATTAAAGCAAGAGCGGTTGCAAAAAAAGGTATTTAGTTTCTGGGATGTTAATTGCTAGAGGAGCAGTGGCATTGGGATGGCGAATGGTTTACTCTCTTTTACTAGTAGCAATTGCTGAAACTTTTAGCCATTTGACGAGGACAGCAACGTACTCCAGTAGCAATAGCAGCACTACAGCAACAACTGTTACAACAAACGGAAGCTACGGCACCCGATAATAATAACGGGCAAAGTTAATTACAATACCATTGACTTGCCTGCATCACAGCATGACCACAACATAAAGCAGCAAACCTTGCACCAGCCTGCACAGTACAGGCCGCTTTTCTTTTTTACGGTATACGAGGTTGCGAATAACAAGGTGAAAACGTCGAGTATATGCCATTAACTTTCTACAAGGGGCATTAGCCATGGCGGCACGTGTTTATTTCTTTCTTTTTATCAGGCAAACTGGCAGACAAAAAAAAGAAGCTATCCCCGCACGACGATATCTCATCATCGAGTACTCCAAAAAACGAACTGTTTACTGCAGTAGAATGAGGACGAGCTGACGAACGTGACGATATTGGTCTGGTGTCTCTACCATACCATGTCGACGAGCAACATCTAGGAACGGTACGCGTGCACTTTACAGTGGATCATATACATATACACCAAAGTCAGCCAAAAAGGAGCGATTCCCGCACGGCCATATCTCACCATCCAGTACTCCAAAAAACGAACTGCTTAATGTGCCAGAATCAGGACGAGCAGACGAACGTGACGATATTGATCTGGTGTGTCTACCATGTCTTTACGACGAGCAAAAGCTAGGAACGGTACGCGTGCATTTTACTGTGGATCATATACATATACACCAAAGTCAGCTAAAAAGGAGCGATCCCCGCACGACGATATCTCACCATCCAGTACTCCAAATAACGAACCGCTTAGTGTGCCAGAATAAGGACGAGCAGACGAACGTGATGCTGGTGGTCTGGTGTCTCTGCCATGTCATGTCGACGAGCAACAGCCAGAAACGCTACACGTACACTTATAGTGTATCCTATATATATACACCAAAGTCAGCTAAAAATAAGGAGCGATTCCTGTACGGCCATATCTCACCATCGAGTACTCCAAAGAAACGAACCGTTTACCGCAGTAGAATAAGGACGAGCTTACGGGCGTGACGATATTGGTCTGGTGTCTCTACCATGTCGTATCGACGAGCAACAGCCAGGGACGCTACACGTGCACCTTTTATTGCGGATCATATATATACACACCAAAGTCAGCTAAAAATGGAGCGATCACCGCACGACGATATCTCGCCATCCAGTACTCCAAATAACGAACCGCTTAGTGTGCCAGAATAAGGACGAGCAGACGAACGTGACGCTGGTGGTCTGGTGTCTCTGCCATGTCGTATCGACGAGCAACAGCCAGAAACGCTACACGTACACTTATAGTGTATCCTAAATATATACACCAAAGTCAGCTAAAAATAAGGAGCGATTCCTGTACGGCCATATCTCACCATCCAGTACTCCAAATAACGAACCGCTTAGTGTGCCAGAATCAGGACGAGCAGACGAACGTGACGATATTGGTCCGGTGTCTCTACCATGTCGTATCGACGAGCAACAGCGGTGAAAAGAACGTGCGGATTATATGTAAGAGGTGCTTCAAGCAAGTCATTAGTACGACAAGGATCCAGACATAGCAATATCCCGTTGTTTTATAGATGCGGATGGGAAGCATATAATGGAGATAATCGTAGAAAAGCTGGTTTTTTCTGATAGCTCTGTGGTGGTGACGCTTATGTGCAGGTAAGGAAGTAATAGAGAGTGCATAGTATTAGCATGCTTTAATAAATTGGTATTTTATGAAATGAGATTCTGTTGTCGTGCATTGTGCAAAAGGTGCTCTATACTCTTTAAGCTGAAAAATTCATCAATGGATGTGGCATCTGCGGTTATGATGCATGTTTGTATATTATATTCCAATCTGTGAAAGTTCCTGGAGCATACCTCCGGTATATACAGCGTTGCTGCTGTAAATTGCTCAATAATAACGAGTGACCCCGATGACCCCGAGATTTCAGTTCATGTGGCGACGGACGACCCCGGCCTGACCCCGGGTTTTGGCCAATCAAATTACCAGAACATGATGAGCAAGACAGCAAAATAGCAGAAGAGCCAGCTCCACTTT